AAGTTTGGGAACCACTGTCCTATAAGATATTAACATTAGAAAATTCCCCTAAAAACAACCATTTCTTCTAGAAAGAGACTGAGCATTTCTTTCGATATAGAAGCAAAAACGATTCAAAATTTTTATTTTTTTTATTTTTATTTTTATTGTTGCAAACATAAAAACTGGGCGCCTTATAAAGAGATCCATCGCGGGGCGTTTGGTGTCGCCCTGACACTTTTATTTTTTTTTCCCTTATGGAAATTCAGTGCAACTGCATAATACATGTTTTTTCCCTTATGGAAATTCAGTGCAACTGCATAATACATGTTTTTTCCACAGCACAACTTTCGTCACTTTAAATAAACGGAGCACCCCCACCCCCCCCCCACCAACCTCCACTGGTACCGCAGGGGCAGCAGGGCCGACACGATGGCTCTGCTATTTAAATAACTGGTTTCGTAAAGACGAAAAGTGGCTGTTCGTTTTTAAGTATGGAGTGGGGTGGGGGGGGGGGGGAGTGTTAAAACTTTTAGAAAGTTTTTTTTTTAATATGTTGTAAAAAGTAGACAAAAATTAAACCGAATGCGTTATACCCCGTTGAATCACACTCATCAGAATACTAGCGCCCCCTCCCCCCCCTTCCTCCTTCCCCCCCCCACTTACTCCATGTAGCTAATCTTAAAACCATCTCTGGTGATTGTAGTAGCCCCACCAGAGAAAGTTATAATTTAAAAACTAAACGAATACTTTAAATGAAGGCAAGTATTCTCTTTGACAAGTGCAGCTTTAGAACTGTTAAGAAGCAATTCCACGGTTGATTTTTTTTCATTTTAAACGAAATTCTATGTGGTAATTATTCTTCTTTAAAAAAAAATAAAAAATCCTAGAAGTCGATGGAAAATCTTCCATCTATACACGGTCGCGTAATCTCACCCGTGCTCAATGAAGCCTATTGCATCCACGGCCAATTTGAATGGACTCATTGAAGTCTCATAATACCGTTTCATTGATGCTTTATCGCCCCCCCCCCCCCTTTACCCCCCTCCCCCAGTGTAAACTCGAGGGATCCCATCTAGACGGATTTGTGTTAAGACACTCTGTGAGAAGAATCCAACAATGCACGATTTTATTCAGTGGGGGGGCTAGCTACGAATCGTCGCGATATGTCGATCAGAAAATATACGTATCATCAAACAACCCCTAGAAACACAATTTTACCTATAAATCCTTTATACAATGTTATCTCCGGCAACGGGGGTTGGGCTGAAAAGTTGACTATACATGCATACTAGTAACGCACTTTATAAGGGTTCCAATAAATTATTCCCCCCCTCCCCAGCCCCACGCTTTCCTGGTTCGCAAACGTTTATTTTGTTCAATGGCCACTGAACTAGATTAATATTCGAATGACGCAGCCGCTTTTACGTCGCAGATTTATTTTACCAACTATTTTAGAGAAAACAAAGATTAAGCTCTTTACACACTTGCGATATTTAAAAAAAAAATACTATAAAGTTAAACAAAACAATGCGTTCAAAAAGAAATTTGACGCAAAATTTGATCGTGTGAACTGAAAAAAAATATAAAGAAATTGACCAAATTTCCGTTGGATCAAAATTCCGTCAATCAATTTCCCGTCGACGATATTTCTTTCAAACATATTTCCAGATACGGATTCGAAGACGGAAACCTGTGTTAGTAAATTCATTTACGGCGATGCACTCAGCCGATGAGGCAAGCTGTTGTCAAAAGAGCACAGGGGTCACTAGAACGGAAGCTCGACCCAACAAGAGAACGTAATGTATTTCAAGATTCAAAAATACAATTTAACCCCACCCCACAAACAGAAAGAATTGGATAAAAATGAGACTAAAACATATCATCAAAAGGACTCGAACCCGGGTCAAACGCATGACAGGTGAGTATGCTGTCGATATCCCACAGCTGGTGAGTGTTGGTAAGAGAATTCCCAAATAGTACGAGACATTTTGTTTTTCCCCATGTAGGCTCATGTCCCCTAAAAAAAGAAAGAGGGGGGGGGGACTGCCATTTTCCCCACTGTAAGCCCATTGTAAAAGGGGGCGCCAATCTTTTTTCCACTGTAAGCCCGTTGTTAAAGGGGCGCCATTCTTTTTTCCACTGTAAGCCCATTGTAAAAGGGGGTGCCATTATTTTTCCACTGTAAGCCAATTGTAAAAGGGGGCGCCATTTTTTTTCCGCTGTAAGCCTGTTGTAAAAGGTAGCACCATTCTTTTTTCCACTGTAAGCCAATTGTAAAAGGGGGCGCCATTCTTTTTTCCACTGTAAGCCCATTGTAAAAGGGGCGCCATTCTTTTTTTCCACTGTAAGCCCATTGTAAAAGGGGGCCCCGATTTTATATTCAGTATCGTTTCTTGTTTGCGTGGAAATCAAAACTGCTTAGGAAATTATTTTTTTAAAGAAAATGTAATACTGTTTAATGGGAAAATTTATACACAGGAACACAGTCTTTATTATTCGGTGTTGTTGACTACAAGTGAATCTTTACTATTGTCAATTCAAATTCATTAAATACCCCACAAAGTCGTCCACACTTGTCAGATGTTTTTGAAATTGCACAGTTATCCCAAAAGTCTTTGTAAATATTCGGCATTATTGAGGTAAGAAATGTTAAATATGTCCATTAGACAGCCGTGTAGTGTTCGCTTAAGGTACCGCCTTGAGCGCTACAGTACTCGGTGACGCCAAGGTCTGTACAGTTTTCGTTGACGCCTAGGATGTTACAGTATTCGATTACGCCTAGGAAGCTACAATACTCGGTGATGCCTAGGGCGCTAAGTACCTGATGACGTCTAGGGTGTTACAATATGCGGTGTCGCCTAGGGTGCTACAGCACTCGATTACGCCTATGGCGCTACAATATTCGGTGACGCCTTAGGCGCTAAAATACTCGGTGATGGAGGGGGCGCTAAATTACTCGGTGATGCCTGGGACGCTGAAGTATTCGATTACACCTAGGGCGCTACAGTAATCAGTGATGCCTAGGGTGCCTACATTATTCTAAGATGCCTAGGGCACTACAGTACTCGATGACGCTAAGGCGCTACAGTACTCAGTGATGTCTAGGGGGCTACAATACTCGGTGACTCTTAGGGCGCTGCAGTAGTCGATTACGCCCAGGGAGCAACAGTACTCGGTGATGCCTAGGGCGCTACAATACTCTTAATAAAATACAATCTAAGGGGCCTGAAATTAAATACAAAAAAAATAACAATTTAAGTCACAAATTAGTGTACCATTGTATAAATTATATATACAACTGCAGTATGAACTTTACATATATAACCACAGTAAAAACTTTATATAATATAACCAATATATAAACTTCGAACTTTATAAACAATACATATGTAAACACAGTATAAACTATACATATATAAACACAAATTACATACATTCGAAAGTAAATTCATGTGCTGATAAATAGTGGGGCAAAATATGGGATATGGGAAACATAAAAGCGGTGGCAGTTTCGGCCACAAAATGCAAGCCTTTACAAAGTTACCATTTTTCATAATTTTCTTATTGCCATTTCTCTAAAAATATAAATCATATAAAAACTCCCCTAATATAACACATCTGACTGTGTGTGTGAAGGAGGGTGTGTGTGGTGGGGGAACGGGTATGCAAGTAAAAAGAGTTTAAACCTGCCATTCATTACCTTACAAACGGGAGCAGGCGGAACACTTTGACCTGGTTCACGGCTGGACATTGACATTGACACAACCGTGTGACGATCGGATCGGCAGTGCATTGAAAAAAATTAATTTAAAAAATCTTGAAAATTTTTTTTTAAAAACACCTACACAAAAAAACACGCACAGACCGACACACAGACAGACACACACATGTGTGATTTGTCTGGCTTGAATATGGAGCGCAAACTTTGGGGACGGTTATTGATAGAGCGTTCGTTGCATGATCGAAGTGCGCACTAGGCAAGATCATTTAGTCTGTATTCAGGGTCATTTCGTATGGGTCCTTCGTTTGATGCCAGCGTCACCTTACTTAAATAGTGATAATGAATTTAGTAAATGATCAATAAATTGATCGCGGGCCATTAAGATATAGAAGATGATTTCTTATGGGTCCTTAATGTGATGGCAGTGTCCCCTAACTTAATGCATCCATCACTTAGAGAAACACAATTTATTAAGAAATACTTTAGGAAGAAAAGCAGTTTGCTTAATTGAATTTAAGCTTTTGTGTGCCTTATAAAAGGGTTTTCTTTAAAACTATTTTTAAAAGTGTCTCATTGATCAAACAAAAAATTTGAATTACACAATAAAGGGGGAAATATGAACAAAAAATATAACATAAATATATATTTAAAAAAAAAAAGATTTTCTATCAATTACAAGCATTAAATTCATCGCCTCGTCAAATTTCAAAAAAACTAAATTGTTCGATTGACAAATTGTTATACAATTTTCTCATATATTAGAGAATATTTCAAATATTTATAGAGCATCACCAATTTTTATGTTTAATAACATAAACCTGGGTCATTAAAGCATAAATGCCAACTATAAATAAGTCATCACAGAATGTCACATTGTCTCAACATTTCATATTCCAATGTTTAAAACTTTGATTATGTTGACCCACCTCCCCCCCCCCCGACCAAAAAATAAAAAAAGAGAAACCAAGATCTTAAACACCCACACGCTTAAAATCGTTTACATTTGTTAAATCTCCTCTGCAGCTTCACCAATAAGTTAACAAGAATGATAATGATAACAATAGTAATTAACTGAAAGATCTTTAAAACCCCGAGCACACCCGGATCAATCGGCTAGTATTTAAATACAGCTTTTTCATTCGGTCACCGGAGTGACAAAAAAAGTCTTTTAAACTTTCGTTTCTTGTCATAAAGGCTGGCGTGCCTTATATGTTTTCCGACAGCCATGGCCTTGCTATGATCCAAAGCTGTATTTAACATTTTTTTTTTAATTAAAAAAAAACAAAAACAAAACTAGCCTCCACACAGTTACCACACTTTATGCTTAAAAACGAAATCTGGGTCACTCAGCAGCGGCACGTTAACTCGAGGAGCGCAAATCCCCGTGATAAATATGTCGTCCAGCCACACGGGCTTTATCCTCAGCGCCGCCTGATACAACAACGTCACGGTGCTTATGGGGTATCCCAGCAGCCCGCCGACCGCGAAGGGAGGCAGTGTCGAGGGCTCGTACTCGTCCACCGAGAGGTAATACTTATCGGTCGTATCCCTGACCGCCGCCCAGCCGTCTTTCCGGTCCCCGATGATGAAATCCGTGTAGCGCCTGCTCTTGGCCTCGAGCACGGACAGCAGCTTCGGAATGTCCACCCTGACGTCATCGTCCGTTCTTATGACGTACTTCGTCTCCTGGCAGAACGTGCTCGCCCACTTGAGCATCGAGACCGCCTTCAACCGGATGTTCTTGTAAACGTCTTCGAAGTTCTCCTGCACGATGTCCCCGTACAGCAAGGACTCCTTGTCTATCTTAGTCTGTATCTCGATCCCCGACTCGTCGTTGGACGGGTTCCCGATGAAAAACAACAGAACCGCTCCATTTCTCCAGTTCCGAACGTACCCTCCTCTCTTACTCAACCGCACCTTCGCCCTGTTTTCAAAATTACCGGGCGCGGAGGGTACGACCAGCAAGACCTCCGTCCTGTGCAGAGTGCAAACGTTGCTGGGGTTGTGAATGTAGACGTAGTTGTGGTGGTTCATCACTGGCTGTGTCAGAAAGGATATGACGGACTTCTTCGCTTGGACTTCCGCTTCGAGTTTCATGGCGAACTTCCGCAACGTTTTGACGTCGACGATCTGAAGAATCGACGATTTTGAAATCAAGGATTTGTTCACCTCCCCTTGTTCGGCTTCCTCCAGCTCCATTTCCGTTACTTTCAATGGCTTGAGGATGCAATCGATTACCGAATGAAACAGAAGGGCCTTGGGCGAATCCAGCGACTCGAAGTCGAAGCCCTCTATGGCTTTGGCGGCCATTTCCTTGACTTCGCGGAAAAGCCTGTCCCTCTCGTCCGGGTAGGACAGCTGCAGACGTGCGGCGCCGTCCAGGACGAAGATCATGTACATGTTAGCCGCAAGGGACATCAGCAGTATGTACAGGCTTCTGTTGAGTCTCCTCATGGTTACCTACCCTCTTTCCGTGTCCTGGGTCAACTGCGCACGGGGATCCCTGTAAAGAAATATTTTTATTTTTGCTTTTAATCAGTTGTCATGGAAATACCTTGGTCAGACATTGACCGTGCTAGTATCGGATTACATGTGATTGTCAGTAGGATGTCAGATAGGAAATTAGTTTTAATAAGTTAAACAGCTTAAATTTTCTTTAGAATTGTAGTTGGGGGCAGGTTGGCGAATTAGCAGGAGTGAGGAGCCTGAGTGGGGGAATCTGAGAAAGCAATCAAAGAGATTATCCCAATCCTGCAGTGCTTTACCAGGCACCCGAGAACGATGTCAGAATGGGCTGTTGTTAAATGTGTCGTAATTAAAAGTGAACGCACTTGTCAACTTTATAACAACAAAATTGTCGCAAGTTGATATTTAAAACCACCGGAGGTAGTGTAATGGTTTTATTCTTGACATATCTATCTTTACTAAGTTTTTAGCATAACCTTGTTAAGCCCTCTATTATGTTCAATGAATGTGAACATGCTCGCGGTCTGGGGGGTTTTCAAAAGGGGCTAACACGGGTATATTTTAGAAACCCTATTGGCTAAAATAAAGGCAATCATTGCTGTATATAAATGTACGTTATTACATTGATTACGATATGAACAAAGATACATGAAATCTACATCTAATAAAATCAATGCAGGTCTAGCACTAACAATATCTAACCTCGCGGTGATAATAATATAAGCAATACTATCACAAGTCCAAGTTACTGGAATTAATATTTCTGCTAACTATCGAATGGCCCAAATCTAGTGGTACTTAGCGATTGCAGCGGAAAGCTAACCACGTATCGATATGATCCCCCTTTGTTCCCTCCCCTTGTGTCGAGAGGATGCATCCCGTACTTATCCTCATCTCGCATTGCGTTGACCTTAAATTAGGTCAGTGTCCGCTTAATCGTTTTGGGCTGGGACATTGCTCGGTTAAAGACGTCGTGTTTCCCTGCTGGTGGTCATCTGACACGGTCAGGTTAATGGGGTACGTAAAGAAAAGGGCCCAACCTTGTAACAACCTCCACCCCCAATCGACCCCCCCCCCAAAAAAAATAATCATATAGTAAATCAAATCCTTTATAAATCCTTGATAAAATGTGATATGGCAGACTGGAGGATGGGGCTGAAAATGTGACCAAATTGGAACACAAGTAACGCACTATATAAGAATCCATATTAGTGCCCCCCCCAACCCCACTCCCTTTTTTTTTTCATGGTTCGCAACAGCCCATTTTTTCCACGCCCCTGAACGTTATCATTATTCTAACGACCCACCCCCCCGCTTTTACACCGCAGGTTGACTGCAACCATTTCAACAAAGCAACCCCTCCCCTTAACAAACCCACTTGCAATTTTTTTAAAAATAAATAATCTCATTTAGTGCAGGTATCGGGAATTTTATGTCGTAAAATCAGTGACAGCATATATCCTTCATCTTTCCTTTAAAAAACTTGAAACATGAAAAATGTGTGGTTTGCGGCTTGGGGGTGGGGGGGGGGGGTTAGGGCAGGGCTTGAAATTTGAATGAATTTGTTGTCATCGGCAACACGTCTATGTGTTAAGCTGCAGCTCAAGCAAAGAACAGGGGCCAAGTTAATATACAGGATGATTTAATAAAAAATAATAATAACAATCTAATCAATAAAAATAAAAATAACAATCTAATCAATAAAAATAATAATAACAATCTAATCAATAAAAATAATAATAACAATCTAATCAATAAAAATAATAATAACAATCTAATCAATAAAAATAATAATAACAATCTAATCAATAAAAATAATAATAACAATCTAAAATTTGTTCCGATTAACCAACGGTTTTCCAAGCAGTTGCGAAACATTTTCTTCTTTAATAGATTTAATATATTGCAATCTGTTTGCAGCTCAGCCCAGGTCGATCCACAAGCGTGGGGGCCAAGGGTAGGACGGTCCCAGGCCGGTCCACAGGCGTGGGGGCGTAGGGAAGGAGGGTCAGCCGTAAAAAAAAAAAAAAAAAAATTAAAAAGGAACAACAACAAGAAAAGCCAACTTCACAAGCGTGGGGGCCAAGGGTAGGACGGGCCCAGGCCGGTCCACAGGCGTGGGGGCGTAGGGAAGGAGGGTCAGCCGTAAAAAAAAAAAAAAAAAATTCTACAGGAACATCAACAAGAAAAGCCAACTCATTTCAGCCCTGGGAAGAGACGGTGGCTCTTCTTCTCCAAGGAAGAGCTATGATTGGATAAACCTGGAAGCATTACTGGAAAGGAACGCACAGGGCCATAATGAATGGGAAAAAGGGCGTAAGGAGAAGAATGGGGTTGCACAGATTTCTCATGCAATCAATAGAAAGAAAGAAAGAAAAAAAAAAAAGTTCACGAATTTATGATAAAATAAACCAGTTGAACTGTATTCTGGACGCATACACGTTCCGTGACATTGAATTGAATGGAAGTAATGTGCCGTAAAACGTATCGCTATATCGGCTATGAATGGAGCTAAGTGAGACATTTTTTAATAGTTGCATTTGCAAACGCGCACACTCATTACATATAATATATATATATATAAAGATACTTATATTAATAATATACAAAAGATAACATTATCGGGTCCATAAATGTTAAGTAGAATTTACATTTAAAACGTTCCGTTAAGTCGTAGTGCATTCTGTGGTAATGCAAATCATTCAACATCGACGTGGTCGCAAAGGATTTGGCATTTTCTCGTGTCCGAGATGAAAATCCGTGTAACCCCCCCCCCCCCCCCCCCCCGGCCGTCGGACATCATCTTCTCTTGTCAACATCCTGACTGTTGGAGTCTATCATAACAATAACTTAGCCCCTACCTGCCGTGCCCCTCTGATTCAACGACTCCGTATAGAAACGTCTGCGTTTGCCACGCTGACTAGGGTAAATGACGTCTACAAACGGTCGACAGGCGTCAGTGACTTCAACATACCAAAAAAAAAAACTGCAATGCTATTTTACGTTGTGGTCTATACACGCACTAATTGTTTATCTATACATCATTTTTCTCTATCCATTTTTTTTTAAAACTATTCTTTTAAATGCACTCAATTAACATTAACAAAAGTAGGGGATTTTTTTTTTATACTGTATCCTACTTTTCTGAGTCAATATTTCTTAAGGTTGCCATAATCCTACAACCTGGAAACTGCTACAAATCTTAATTTTCGTTTTTTTTTTTTTTTTTTTTTTTTTTTTTTTTTTTTTTTTTTTTTTTTTTTTTTATTTTTTTATTTTTTTTTTTTTTTTTTTTTTTTTTTTTTTTTTTTTTTTTATATTTTTTTTTTTTTTATTTTTTTTTTTTTTTTTTTTTTTTTTTTTTTTTATATATATTCTTTGAACAGTTTAAGATTTGATTGCATTTTTTTGTTGTTGTTGCTGTATTAGAAGTACACATTTTTTTTTAAAATATTATATTTATTTTTACTGATCCATTTTATTAGAAAAAATAACAAATAAATACTTTAAAAAAAAAAATAGTAATAAAAACTAAAAAATCAATTTACATCTAATTACCAATTTAGTCCTGTAAAAAATTTGCTAGAATTGCTGAGGTACATAATTCGACTACCATTCTAGCACCACTTTTTACCCTCCAGAATTGTTATTACTTTAACCGTAGCTAACCCAGTACTGCTACAGCTGTTTTCATAGGTTGTCATCCATTGGTTTAAGCAATGGAGGGTGGGGGCTTTATCATCAAACTAAGGCAAGCGGGCAAGATCCAGCCCGCCATAGGTCCTCAATCCACACCCGCCTCTGTGCTGTTTGGGTTCCAGTCTAGCAGCGACCAACATGGAACTGAACATCGATCATCTGATTTGCCTTAGCCTAAATCTATTTTCAAAGACTAGTAAGTTTATGTTGGATACACTTAAAAACTATCTTATTGTTTTCCTGTAAGCTGTTGTTGTTCTATTTTCACTTCAAATAAGATAATGTGAAGTGTGCATATAATTGAGATGTGTGGGTTTTGCATAGTGTTGCGATTTGTATAGAATTGAGATGAGTGCAGAGTGCACAGCTTTGAGATATGTGCATTGTCCATAGGATTAAAATGTGTGCAGTGTGAATAGAACTGAGATATTTTAAGTCTTCGATGAAGTCGTTAAAATATATTTCCAATCTTATAATCCGGAAACTCGATAGCGTCTGAGAGACACTGATCCGGTCCCATTACACAATTTGAGGACCCCCTAGATGTGGGGGGGGGGGGTTCTAAACTAGCAATATATTGTTTATTAAGATTCGCTTCTCAACGAGTAAGAACACGTTGAATGACAACGCCTTTAATAATAACAATAATAATAACAATTATTCAATGGGTGCAGTTTGTTTTTTTGTTGTTTTTTTTGTTGTTGTTCAAGAATCAATAAGACATGACCTTATTCTTATACCCCCCCCCCTTTACCTTTAGCTCTGAAACGCCGTATTCTCCAATATTAAAGCCAAAGCCTGGCCAATAACAACGCCATACATTTAGCGCTGAAACGCCATAACATGGCCCACACAGCGCTTATAATTATTCTCTTAATGTACTTCACATAATCAATACGACTCAATTTAGTGCCCTGTCCCAGGCTCAGGACCGATTCATCCAATCGTGACGGCAGAATAACAGTGCCCGAAACCCACCAGGCGTGACTTTTGCCTTTGACGTGGGTTGTTTGTTCGCCATTAAAAGTAACTTAAGACT